TTTGCTCTCTTTTTACAGGCCTAACCGGTTGTCGGTCTTGGCACACCTCAACCGAGTTTTGTATATATCCTAGTTTCATAAGGTTTTATTAATCCTTAATCCTGACCAAAAATAAAAGGCAGGAGCCTGGAGTTGTGGGAGAGACTTTCACTGCCTATAACCCTACAGGGAATATCTCACTTACCTGATGTTGATTCGAGAAGTTGCCCTCCCTCCACTCCCTCTATTTTATACATAATTCTACCAGGTGGGCCCTCTTATTACAGGCCTAACCGTTTACCGGTTTTGGCACACCTCAACCGAGTATTGTATATCCTAGTTTCATAAGGGAAATGATATTCAGCTTTATTAATCCCAACCACAAATATATATTATATAGGAGGAAGGATTTCCAAAGTAACTGGGTTAATCTTATGAGAACAGGAATTAGGTTGCTAGGATAGGATCTTCCACAAATGTGATACATTGGCATTGTGGCAGGCTTATGTGATGTATAATCATGTATTGTAACTAAATCGACATTATTTTTGACTCAGGTGTTTTAAAAAAACTATAATATTATGTGAGCTTTGAAGTTGGTGTTTACTGAATGAATATATATATATACACATACACACACACACACAAAAACACACACACACACACATATTTATATATTTGTGCTCGGAGCTGAGGTCATACAGTAAGGTTTAAGCTGTACCAGTAAGAGCAAATCGGCTGTGGTATACCGAAAACCGACAAACGGGGAGGACTGAAAAAAAGGGTGTGGAAAACCGTACATTGTGCCCATCATCATTTCGAATCTTTTATCGAAAAAGGGCTATAGAACTACCCCTGGCTCTGTACTTCTCCAGGCTAAGCAGCCGAAAGCTTCTGCCTTCATTTTACCCCAGATGCACATGAACAGAGGGTGTTGAGGGCCCTGCTCAAACAAGCTCACATTCTAGAGGGAGTAGGGTAAAGTAGCACAAGAGGTAAGGGTAGGATGTATTTCATGTAAGGGAAACAGTAGGTTGCTAGAATAGTTTTTATTAAAGGGTTATTTTTTTGGATGACACAGTTGCAGGGTGGGTTACCAAGGTGTGGGGAAGGAAAGTTAGTAACAGTTTAATTGATATGCTTTCCTAAAGAAGTGAGTTTTTAATGATCTTTTTATGGAACTAAGACTAGGCAAAAGTCTAACAGAGCAGGGAAGGGAGTTCCATAGGAATTAAACAGCCATAGACAGGCAGAAGAGGTATGAATATGAACAGAGAATAGATGCAAAACTTCAGCAGAGCAAGGGATTTGGATGGGACATACTTGTGTATCAGTGTAGATAGGTAGCTGAGAGCAGCGTTATGTAAAGATTTGCAAGCAAGCACCAGTATTTTAAATTGAGCTCAAATGTTACAGGAAGCCAGTGTACGGACTGACAGCGTGGGGAGGCATGGCAAGAGAGGGCAGACAGGAAGATGAGCCTTGCTGCTCCATTCATTACAGACTGTAACAGGGCCAGTTGAACGCATAAGACCACTGAGAAGCAGATTTCAGTAGTCAAGGCGAGAGATGATAGCGACTTGAGCCCATAACCTCTTGCTTCTGACAACCGGTAATCGTATATCCAACTAAAAGCAAACTGCACCCTTTTTGTACTACAAAGTACTATGTACCGATTAGGTGACATAGAACTATATAACATACAACTATATGCTATTACTACCATTAACAATACTAAATATATCATACTGGTCAAATATACTGTCCAACATGGAGATAAAAATAAAGTAACTTTATCAATGTATTCTGTATTGACAGTCCGAAACTTAAGTAGCATGTAGCTTAAAATAATACACATCTGAGCTGGATTTTGCATGAAAAGAAAAATCCTTTAGCACATCACAAACCAATAATGTGAAAGGAATTATTACAGTAAATTCATAGGCATCAGTAGTAATACCATGTGATATAACTGATCTGAAAATCATGTTACATGTTTTGGGGCTTTTTGTTTGCTTTTTTAATGACAATGCACACTACGTATGTGCACCAAAGAGCACCACGGCGGCAAATCACACAGAAATAACCAGTGTCACTGAATATGACTGAATATGACAGTGCTCCCCACAACCTGCAATGTGACTGCCTGTCCGGCAAAGATCTAAATTAGCAAATCCTCAAGGTGCTGTGGAGCAAGCCCCAAAACCAGAGGTCCACAGCCACAAAATTAAAACCGTGCAGATAATACCACATTAAAGTAACTAGTGTGCCGTATGCATGAGAGTATAACGTCGCTTACGGCCTTAAAATCTACAGTAGAAGCTTAAACTGCAGTCCTAAAGAATAGGAGTAATTAATGAACTTGAGATGTAACTTAGCCAGCAGTTATAGTCACAAACATCCAATTTAGTAGAGGTGTCCTAGGGAGCTTCTTAAAATATTAATCATTAATTGTGAACTGTATCATAACCTACTGCTACATGTTTGAAAATTAAATTTGTTCAACTATGATGTCAAATAACAAACCAAATATGTTAGGCTGAGAAATATAGACATTGCTGTAGTGGAGCCATAGATATTGCAATGGTTAATTTCTGGCAGCTTTGTGACTTGAAAAGTAAAAAGTGCGCAGCAGATAATAAATAAGTTGGATATCATCAAATACTATTAGGTGAGAGAGGTTTAGTTTGAAGTATTGTCGTAATCCAAAACTTATAAATTCAGCAACAATCAATGAACAATAGGTGGATTTGTAAAAACACAAGCAGGACCTTTAACCCTTAATATAAATTACACTTAGGGATGCAGTGTAGTAAAAATAGATAAAAGTACCAGAAGACTAATTGATGATATAATTAATATGTAGATGCCTAATGCCTGGCAGTGTGGCCAAACAAAGCTTAAAATAAAGTAATGAAATTATGGCCGAATGTAGGCCGAATGTACTGAACCAAAGTGAAAATGTGGAAGGCCGAACGTAGGCTGAATGTACTAAACCAAAGTGACTATGTAAAAGTGTTGAATTTGGGTCAAATCTACTGAATCAAAGTGAATATGTAGGCCGAATGAACAATGTCAAAAGAAGTGGGGGAAGTTGACTACTCATGCACGGATTCCCCTGTAGTGATGCTGGAATGCCATCCTAAGCTGGGAAGCTTGCAAACCAGAAGTTGTGTGTGGTAACCTAGCAACCAAGTTCTAAACATCATCAGAACGTCAAGAGGTAGCTGGGAGGGGGATAGATACAGGTTTTCAGTAACCCATCCTACAGCTCCAGGCATACATTTATATAAAACTTGTTGGGTGCAGGGGTATGACAGTTCCTGTGGAAGACAACTCCTAACTTGCATTCACATCTGCAGAATTTTTCTATTCGATGCCTGAGCAAGCATGCATGTACCTAACATGTGCTTCGAGGCCACTGCAACATGGAACTGCTGTAGAAGAAAGTGCATTTTCTACTTACCTCTGCTAGCCTATTCACCTGCTGCAGTAGCATATACTAGGGTGAAGGAACAAGGAATTGACGCTTCTTGGGAAGTGACAGTTCTTCTTTAATACAGTAAATTCAAGACTTTTACATAAGCTAAACATTTACCTGCTGCCTTTAAATAATATGTTAAATTAAAAAAAACCATTGTAAATTATGATGCTTATAGAAAAAATAGTCAGGCATGACAATTTCAGAAATTATTACTTATTAAATTCTGCTCCATGTGAAATGACCTTAATTTGCAATTTTATTCATATAAGGTCGGAGGTTTTAAAATTTCTTTTGGCATATAAATCCTTGAAAAGTATTTAAAGTGCAAACCACTTACACTGAAACAATTGCAGAAATTCATGAACGACAGATTAAAACAGACCACTTACAAAGGCCTCGAAAAATGCTACATGTATTGTCTACTGTAAGGGGGAATTACGTAAAGGGTGCTTTATATTCTTTAATTAAAGTGCTTGTATGGGTGAAAGTTTTTATATGAAACATCATATATTCATAGAAATGTAGAAATAATAATGGAGGATAAATTTTACTAAAAGTTGGATATGCTCTTTAACTGTTCTCAACAAAATATATGATTGACATCTTCAGTCTATTTCAAAAAGCCAAGCTAATAGTTTAGTTATGATTACGCTGTTGCCTCGAGCAGCAATAGTACATCAGTACTAAGTCTGCTGAGTCTTGTAATTACTGATATTTTTTGCTTCCTCCTGGTATTATACAGTTTCGTGAACTATATATATTTTCTATTGCTTTGTACACATTATTTTTCTATCTATTCCTGCTGGACTAGAAATATTATGGATCTTGGAAAAGAATATGGGTCTATATAGTTCCTATTATGGTAAAATGTGTTGGACTCATTAACCTTATTGGAATTTTGTTATGGTTATATCATCAGACAATTGTGTCAGGGATCCGCTCGTCTCACCTGTCTGCGAGCGGCGTTTCCTCTCTGCCTCTCGCGTCCTCCACGCCCCCCAACAGCAGCATGTATAACGCTGCACGCTGGGAGGTCACTAAATTATGCAAACGCCGGGGTCACATGAGTGACCCGGCGTTAAAGAAACAGTACCACAATCACAGTGGGAGGTATAGATATCCCACACATGTGATTGTTAATTCTGATTGGAAGTTATCCAACCAGAATTAAACCAAGGGTATTTATACTTATCTTTCCTGTCCCTCAGTGCCCTGTTGTGGTCTTGTGTTACCTGTAGTGCAGTTTGCTCGTGTTTCTCTCTGGTTACTGATTATTTGGCTCGTTATTCCGATTATCCTGTCTTCTCCACTCCTTTGACCTCGGCTTGTTTCTCGTTCTTCTGTTTTCTTGCTCCCTTTACTTGGCTTGTCTCCTGACCATTCTTAGTGTGCTTAGCCCGGCCACTCTAAGGACCGGTATAGCACCCTTCCACTCTGTGACCTGTTAGCGTGTTAGGTTCCGGAATCGTGACAAATTGTGAGTAGAACCTTTAAAAATTGAGTATATGGGCGATTCTACACGTGTCTGTCTGTCTGTCATATTTACATAGTTACATAGCTGAAAAGAGACTTGTGTCCATCAAGTTCAGCCTTCCTCACATTTGTTTTTTGCTGTTGATCCAAAAGAAGGCAAAAAAACCCAGTTTGAAGCACAATTTTGCAACAAGCTAGGAAAAAAAATTCCTTCTTGACCCCAGAATGGCAGTCAGATTTATCCTTGGATCAAGCAGTTATTACCCTACATTGAAAGATTATATCCTTGAATATTCTGTTCTTGCAAGTATGCATCTAGTAGCCGTTTGAACATCTGTATGGACTCTGATAAAACCACTTCTTCAGGCAGAGAATTCCACATCCTGATTGTTCTTACAGTAAAAACCTTTCCTTTGCCTTAGACGAAATCTTCTTTCTTCCAGTCTAAACGCATGGCCTTGTGTCCTATGTAAAGTCCGTTTGTGAATAGATTTCCACACAATGGTTTGTATTGGCCCCGAATATATTTGTATAATGTTATCATATCCCCTCTCAGGCGACGTTTTTCTAAACTAAATAGGTTTAAATTTGTTAACCTTTCTTCATAGCGATATGTTCCATTCCTTTTATTAATTTTGTAGCCCGCCTCTGCACTTTTTCTAGTGCCATAATATCCTTCTTTAGAACAGGTGCCCAAAATTGCACAGCATATTCAATATGTGGTCTTACCAGTGATTTATAAAGAGGCAAAATTATATTCTTGTCCCGAGAATGAATGCCCTTTTTCATGCATGACAATACCTTACTGGCCTTGGCCACTGCTGATTGACATTGCACATTGTTGCATAGTTTGTTGTCTATAACAATTCCCAAGTCCTTTTCATGTGTTGTTATCCCTAATTCGCTTCCATTAAGGGTATACGTTGCTTGTGTATTCTTTACGCCGAAGTGCATAACTTTGCATTTTTCAACATTAAATTTCATCTGCCATTTGAGTGCCCAGTCCCCCAGTCTATCTAAATCCCTCTGCAGCAAAGTAATATCTTGCTCACATTGTATTGTTTTACAAAGTTTTGTGTCATCTGCAAACACTGAAACATGACTTTCAATGCGGTCTTCAAGATCATTTATAAACATGTTAAATAGAAGGGGTCCCAGAACAGACCCCTGAGGGACACCACTTGCCACCTCTGTCCAGCTTGAAAATTTACCATTAATGACAACTCTTTGTACTCTGTTTTTAAGCCAATGTTCTACCCAAGAACAAGCATTTTCATCTAGACCGATTTCCTTGAGTTTGAACACTAATCTATTGTGTGGAACTGTATCAAATGCCTTGGCAAAATCCAAAAAGATCACATCCACGGCAACACCCTGATCTATACTTCTACTTACTTCTTCGTAGAACGCAATCAAGTTAGTTTGACATGACCTGTGCTTCATAAAACCATGCTGATTTTTGCTGATAACCATGTTCTTCTCAAGGAATTCTTGAATATTATCCCTTAATAACCTTTCAAATATTTTACCAGCCACAGAAGTTAAGCTCACAGGTCTATAATTTCCAGGCAAGGATTTTGAACCCTTTTTGAATATAGGAACCACATCTGCCTTCCTCCAATCCTCCGGAACACTTCCTGAAAGAAAAGAATCTTGAAAGATTAAAAACAGAGGTTCACTTATTTCTGCACTTAGTTCCTTAAGTACACGTGGATGGATACCGTCAGGCCCTGGAGCTTTGTTTATATTAACTTTCTTTAGTTGCTGCAGCACCTTGTCTTGAGTTAACCAATTACAATTATTCTGCAAGTTTTTAGTAGCAATCATTTGCACATCTATTGCCATGGGTTCTTCCTTAATATATACGGAGGAGAAAAAGTTATTTAAAATTCCTGCCTTTTCCTGGTCTTCATTAATTAACACCCCGTTTCAGTTTTTAGTGTACCTACACTTTCATTTTGTGTTTTTTTAGAATTTATGTACTTAAAAAATGCTTTGGGGTTGGTTTTGCTCTCTTCAGCTATCATTATTTCATTTTGAAGTTTAGCAAGTCTAATTGCCTTTTTGCACGCATTATTTGCATCCTTATATCTTTTATAAGATGCATCTGATTTGTCCGATTTAAATGCTTTAAATGCCCTTCTCTTAGTTGTAATCTCTTGTTTTACTTCTCTACTAAGCCATGTTGGTTTTAATTTGTTTCTTTTATATTTATTTCCCAATGGTACATACTGAGAAATGTACCTTTGTAATATTTGTTGGAAGATGATCCATTTATCCTCAGTGTTCTTTTCACTAAAGAGTTTATGCCAGTCAATATATTGTAAAGCTTCCCTTAACTTATTGAAATTGGCCTTTTTAAAATTATATGTTTTAGTATTCCCCATGTGCTTTTGTTTTTTTGAGTTTATTTCAAAGGACACTATATTGTGATCACTATTTCCCAAGTGCTCACCTACTTGAATGTTGGTCAAAAGATCAACGTTGTTTGTTAAAACCAGGTCCAGACAAGCATCCATTCTAGTTGGTGCTTGTACAAGTTGTGACATGAAGGTGTCATTTAACAAGTTTAAAAACCTAATTCCCTTTGCTGAGGCACTAGTCCCTCTGTCCCAATTTATATCCGGGTAATTAAAATCTCCAATAATTAAAGTGTTACCCAGATTTGCAGCTTTCTCAATTTGCTCAAACAGCTGTTGTTCCTCGTCAATATTAACATTAGGTGGTTTATAACATATCCCAACCAATAGTTGGTTTCCCTTCTTTTCCCCCAAGCAGATATTTACCCATAAAGCTTCCACATTATCCTCCTCGCATTCCATTTGCTTAACATTTGGCTTTAAATCATGTTTGACATACAAACATACCCCACCACCCTTCTTGTTTTTCCTATCCTTCCTAAATAACATGTACCCATTTAAGTTAGCTGCCCAGTCATGTGTCTCATCCCACCATGTTTCAGTTATGCCTATTATATCATATTGTTTAGTGTATGCTAATGCCTCTAGTTCCCCCATTTTGTTATTTAGGCTCCTTGCATTAGTAAGCATACATTTAATATTATGCGCCACTTGTATATTTTGTGAATTTTCAACATTACACAGCTTCTCTGTTCTGAGCTTGCCCCTCCCCCCGTTTCCACCCCCCTTATACTGTGCTAAAGCCCATCTCCTTTCTGTCCTATCTCCATTTTGTAGATTGCTATGACCCTCCCCCCCTACTACTAGTTTAAAATCTCCTCCAACCTTCTAGCCATCCTATCCCCCAGCACTGCAGACCCTCTCCCGTTTAGGTGCAATCCATCACCACTATAAAGGTTGTACCCAATCGCAAAGTCGGCCCAGTGCTCTAAAAACCCAAAACCCTCCTTCCTGCACCAAGACTTAAGCCACGCATTGACCTCTCTAATCTCCCGCTGCCTTTCCACTGTAGCGCGTGGCACAGGTAATATCTCAGAGAATACCACCTTGGAGGTCCTTTTCTTAAGTTTGCTACCTAATTCCCTGAAATCATTCTTTAGGACCTTCCATCTTCCTCTTACTTTGTCATTGGTACCAACATGGACCATGACCGCTGGGTCATCCCCAGCCCCTCCCAATAATCCATCCACTCTGTCAGCAACATGCCGGACCCGAGCACCCGGGAGACAGCAAACTGTCCGGTTGAGCCGATCAGAGCGGCAGATTGCCCTATCTGCTCTCCTAATGATAGAGTCCCCTACCACCACAACCTGTCTTGCCTTCCTTACATTTTGATCCCCACCCGTACTAGGGGGGCTGTTAGCTCGGCTGTTAGAAGTAACAGCTTCCTCTAATACAGCTACTCCTGAGCTGATGCTCCCAACATCTTCCCTCAAGCGGGCAAATCTGCTAGGTTGCACCAAATCAGGACTAGCTAGCCCTTTCCTCTTCCCTCCCCCCCTGCTTCCTCGCCCCACTGTCACCCAGCTACATGCCTGTTCCCCATCTGTCTTATCTCCTCCCTCTCCACTACCTGTCCCCTCTCCACTGTCTGTCTATCTATGTGTATGTCCGTTTGTCTAAAACCAGTTGTAAAAATAAGCAAATCATATTTATTGTCTCATTTGGGGTTGGTTGGCATTAAGTCGGTCATATGGTAAAAATCACATTGTCTACTGACATTTCTATTTTATATTCCAGCCTTGGTATTTCCCTATTTGTACAATGATGTTGTCTTTAAACTGGAGTGGACTTGGTTACCATACTAAAGCTTTCAATTAAAAAACAGGCAGTATAGATAGTAATAACCAAAGAGAATATATGCCAGATAAATCTTGATTCATGTAGGGTCAAATTAAAGGAAGTATTGTCTAGAATTACCCTGTAATCAAATCATTAATCCAGGACAATTTAAACATTGGGTTTTAGGAACAGTTGACAATGTTTTCTATGGAAAGAACACTTACAGGAAAAGGGATACTTTATACAACTATGCCGCAACAGTCATGGCTTTATGGGAAATGAAGGAAAATATAGCATTTGTTTATTAAATGCATATGAAGAAGAAATCAAAACTCATTTTTTATAATCCATGTTGAAAATGTTAAAATATGGTAACATTTTATCTCCAGGACATACTTGCATTCTTGGGAAAATATGGATTCAGTTGCAGTTTGTGAGTAGAGTATTTTTCAAATACTTAACTGCTAACACATTATAATAAATTACTTTTTTGTATAGATGTATACCAGTAACATGGACAGCCAAATTAAGGGGGCATATAGAGATGGCACATGGATGGGGACAGAAAGGGGTATGTAGGTAATGAGAATAGGTGAAATGTGAAGGTGGATGAGATGCATATACACTCCTGCACTTAAATAAACCCCTACATTCACACACAGATACACCACACATATATACGTCTGCATACAAATAGACATTCCACATATGTATACCCCTGCCTTTAGACACAGATACTGCATACATATATCCCTTCATTCACACACAGACAGTCCACTCATATATACAGCTGCATTCAGACACAAGCCACTCCACCAATATATACTTCTTCATTCACATACAGACACTCTAGAAACGTGCCCCAGCATTTACAAACACACTAACACTCCATATACACATTCTGGCATTCAAAGACACTTCATGTTGTGTGAACATGACATAAATTAAAACCAAAATGCTCTTCATATGAGTTTTGACCTGGAAAGTACAATTGTTATGCCTTATTACATCAAGACTTAAACTATATTTATAAAGTACATTTGTATGCATTATTACTTCAGGACTTGAGCCATAT